TTCATGTGTTTTACAATTTTTAGACTACTCTGGAACTATGCCTTATTTTACGTTTGATCAAGTTATCAATAGTTATTGTCTTAAAACCAAACAAATAATTGTTTTTGTCTCTTTCTGGCCATAAATTACAAAATAGGTGTGACAATAGCCCTAAAACCAATTTCAACCCTCCTATTGAGGTATGGAACCTTGTGCAAAAGTTTTATACAGATCCATACAAACATACTGAAGTAATTGTCTGTGACCCAATTCAGTTTCTATGAACTAGTAAAATTGACCGTGTTTGGCCCCTAATTACAAAAATGCTAAGACAATAGTCACAAAAAACAATAACTGGTATGGAACCTTGTGCTAAAATGTGATAGAGATCTATGCCATTGCGAACCAAAATTTCTTGAGACGCTGACGTAGAAAACACCAAAATAAATGTGTGGTCGTATACAGACTAAATGATATCAGGCATTTTTTGGGAATAAAGGACATGATATACACGAGCTCATCAAAGACTCGTTTAACGTATTTGTATATGTACAAATATTACGTAAATCGTGCTAGATGTTTGATGCAAAGTAAGCATTGTTACCTTAAACTGTTTAAATGTATCTAATTAATTTAACCGCACAATTATTTTACCCTCGGTCGATAGCAAAAGAAAAAAAGATTGATCATGTAACGATTATTCGGTAATCATTTCAAAGAATATCCTATGCATATTTCATATTAAAATGTCTAAAACAAGTTTAAAACATATTTTACAGAGTGGTCTTAAACAAGTTTAAGACCACTCTTTAAAATATATCCACTGTACATTTCATATCAGAACACCTTAAACAAGTTTAAGACCACTCTGGAACTATGCCTTATTGTACAATTATGTTGTAAAATAATTGTGATTACATTTTCATACCAGTTATTCATCAAAATTAGAAAAAAATTGGCATTCCTATTTTAAAATACCATAACGTAATATGATTTGCAATCTCTTATGAAAACTTATTTAACTTGAAAACGAAAATTGACGACACAAGAGATGATCTCATCTTCCCAATTGCGAACTTTCCATTGCTACATGTATGTAGGAACATTCCAGTAGCGTCTGCATACGGAGAATATATCCCCAAATTGATACAATATTCCCGAGCTTAAAATCCCAAGATAGAGGGTGGCTGCTCACCTCACAAATAAGCTATTAAACAAAGAGTTACAAATGATGAAGTCGTTAAATGTTACAGACAAAACAATCTCGATTTGGTCGAATGTTATGGAATATCCGTTTCACAGATCATAGCGGATATGCTCATAATGTCGTAACTACAATCCCGTTTCATTTTCATGAAAATGACCTATCGAATTAGACTTATTATCGTTTTTTTGTACTATCATGAGAAACACGACATGTGCCACATGGGGAACAGGGTCTGCTTACCCGGAGCATCTAAGATCTACACCATTTTTACTTTGAATTCGTGTTGCTCCGTCTTTAGTTGTTTATGTTTTGTTTTGTGTACTATTGTTTGTCTGTTGGTCTTTTTCTATTTAGGCCATGTCGATTTCAGTTTATTTTCGACGTTTGCGTTTGAGTGTCCCTCTGGTACCTTTCGCCTCTCTGTTTTTTAATTATATTGTGTAGAAACAGTTCGTATGTGTTCAAGCCTCGCAATAAGTGTTATCTTTCTTTTCAAATTTCATAAGAGGAATTGACATGAGATTATATTCATATATTTTTTTTTCTTTATTTTTTTTTTCGCATGACATCCTTTCTGGTGATCTGAACGAACATGTTATTATTTTCTTTCTTTATATTGATATAAAGATGTCTACAGAAAACTGTTGCCGCTTCACAAGCATAGTCACGTAGACAGGACGTGCATGTTTCAATGATTTGAACTAAAAAATCAGTATATTTGTTTTATCCATGAAATGTACATCGAAATAGCTTCCATATCTAAAAAATTGTAACTAACGTACAAATGATGATTTCGCATGAAATATGTCCCCAAAAGGATATTCTACTACAGTGTATTTCACACTCTACCAACAACTCGTGATTATATTGTCGGTAGTATGTTTTAGCTTCGAATATTTTCCCCCATAAGAACAAACATACGTTTTAAATCATCAATGTCCAAAGATATATAAAACGTATAGTTAAATTTGCATTAGAAAATGAAAATCGTTCAACCGGCAATGTTTTTAGTTTTCTTTTATTTCATGCTACTATGACATTGCATATTAAATCCTGCAAAACTACAGTAAGAATTGTCCGCTGAACTATAAAACCAAAATTATCGGTAATTATAGAACATTTTGTTCAGCAGAAATTTTCGTGATACTATATATTTATGTTGTCTACCCTCTCGACTATTTCAAAGATTCACTCGTTTCAGAGTGAATCATAATATGTATAAAAATGCTGAAATAAGACAAGAAAATGCCAATGACTTTTTTCAGGACATCAATGCTCTCTTTCGTATTGTCTACGTGTACAAATTCATTATCTCGAATAAAATGGTTTACCTCTAATCGATAGCATGGACAAAATATAGGCCAAATATTTTTTAAAGCTTCATTGAGTTATTTAGAATAAATTGATATCTCCAAAAAATGTCAGTTCCAGTTAAAAAAAAGTAAATGTCGTGACAGCCAAGGATGAAACCGTTTTGCAAACGCAAATATTTTAACAGTTCTGTTAACCATGTATAGATATTAAACTTAGAGAAAACTATTGTAAAATCATAGGTTACATTCCTTATAAACCATCTAGTAATGTGGCTCTTCAATGCTGAACATGGTTTAGGGAGACAGAAACTGGCAGAGCAGTTCAACGAAAATCGATCTACCAATTTGACTGCAACACTATCCTACCTCAAATGAATACTACCAAAGAAAGAGAGAGGAACTTTAGTGGTCTGCACATGATAACAAGATTCTATTATCTTTGGTTCTCATCAACAAAGTGAAGCAATTGAAAACAATATGCGACAAATTAGCAAAATTAATTCAGAAAAGAAAAACATTAGTTTGAAGGCGATATGATCTAACATAAAAATATGAAGATGTTGTGTTATTGCCAAAGTGACAAATATCCGCCAAAGTTCAACTGAAGTAGATGTTAGCAATTATAAAAGGTACTGATATGAAAAAAATGAAACAAATGCAATTGAGAAAAGTAACAGCCTAACTAATAACAAAACAAATATAGAAAACCAAATATGACAGAGATGAACTTTTTGAAACTTACAGATATACTTTTAAAGACCAGTTAATAGCCTACGAAAAATGTATATGTTTTGAAAAAAGTGTGTCTGTATGTTACTTTTAAATGAACTTAGTTTTTTTTGCAATTATAATTTCTCTTATACTATGACAGCAACACTCGCAGTCGAGACAAAGGATTCAGCAGGGGAATTTCATTTCATCTTTTCTATCATATATAAGTTTATGTTTTGGGGTTTCATCTATAAAATCACAAACTTAACCAACGTTACTGCTTTTAAAATGGCCTTTTTGGTTTCTGCCTCATTAATACATTATGTGATATGTATGTATAAATATCCACCTTAAAACTGATTTGCAAGTTCCTCATGAAAATAAACTATAAATGCATATCTTACATTTTTAATTATAAAGTGTTCTTATCATTTCCTACTCAGAGTTGTTATTGCTAGTAGTAGGCTCTAGACAGCGACGGTTTTTATCAGATCAGTATTTAGTGTTTCAGCTTTGCCATAATTTTCGACAGACGACAACCAATGAAACACAGGCTCTTCACTTGGGACTGGCACATAAAGAATGTGGCAGGTTAAAACATGCAATAGATGTATTTGAAAAAAAACATACTGCGCGTACATTGACTTATTCATTGATATGATTTATAAATAAATGAGATATGTTCCTTATGTCGTACCAAGTACCCTATTCCCGAGTATTACTTATCGAATTAGACTTATTACCGGCACTGTAATAATATGAGCAACACGACAGTTGTCACATGTAGAGTAGGATCTGCATAAATCTCCAGAGCACCTGTGATGACCCCAGTTTTTGGTAGGGTTCGTGTTACTCGGTATTTAATTGTCTATGTAGTATTTTGTGTGCTGCTGTTTGTCTGTTGGTATTTTAAGTCATGACATTGTCTGTTTGTTTTTCACATTTAAATTTGATTGTCCCTTTTTATTCTTTCTCGCCTCTTTTGAACGCATCTATCCCATCGATCAACAGATAACGTATACAATAGATACAGTAAAGTCTGCATCATATCATGGACTTACATCTGGAAATTGACCACGATGGTCAGTTGAAACTAAAACAGTAGGACACCAGAGATACATTCAGCTTCCTTGTGAACTTTTCATTTCTGTATAACAACATTCCAATAGCACCTGCATACCAAATATATATCTCCCAGTTGATACAATATTCCAGTTATTATATTTCCTATCATGATTTCCTTTATAGTACATTACTAACCTAGAGTTCAGTTGGAATCGTTCCTTCGTAAATTTTACTGACACTACCACAATTGTGTTGACTTATATAAAATTTCAGTTTTATAGATGACAATGGATGTGTTCCAAATACCCTAATACCCTAATAGTGCCGTCCTCCTTTTTACATATCAGATTGGACTAATCACTTGGTTTAACTTTGTACAAAAAATAAGCAACACGACGGTTGCCACATGTCGAGCATGTGGAGCATTTCTGCAGCATCTGCGATAAACCCCAGTTTTTGGTGGGGTTCGTCATGCTCGATGGTTGGTTTTCCATTTTGTGTTTTGTGTACAGTTGTTTGTTTGACATTTTCTTTTGAGCAATGGCGTTGTGAGTTTATTTTCGACTTATGGGTTTTATTGTCCCTTTGGTACACTTCGCTTCTCTTCTATAAAACAGAACAGATAAATGCAAAGACTAATTAACAAAAATCTAATTAAAAACCGATTTTGTGCTCAGAATCTCTGAAAGATTATATGTAAGAAGTTGCGTCGCTTCAGCTATTGTTTATGGTAGACTCTGTAATTCAAAGATTTTTGTTTGTGATTCCCCCTACTTGTTCATATTAGTTTGTTTTTACTTTAGAACAACAAAAGACAGGATTGATTCTGTTTCATACTTTTTTCTTCTATGTTATCTGGTTTTAGTAGCTACATTTTGCTTCTCATTTTTTTATGACAATTTTGAACTTTGCTGAAATGTTATCTGTTTTGGTCGGGTTGTTGTCTCTTTGACATATTGCAAATTTCCATTCTCAATTTTATTAGCAAATGACGAATATTTGATGCAGTAGTATCTTGACATTTTGTGTACTTTTTTATGAGATGTTGCTCGCCTAGCAACAAAAACAATGTAAATAAAGAACTCCCTTCTCCCGAGCTATGTAAGAAAAACTAGCTTTCAGTTTTCTTCTTGATCTAACCCGCCCGTTAAATACCCATGTTCATTTTCCAGTGTGAATGTTAGATACAAAATTTCTTCATAGACACCAATCGTCTTAATTGGTATTGCAGATGATCATTTCAAATAAAAACGAATAAATAGTGGCACACAAATCAAAACAATTAGAAGGTCAAATCATACAACGAGTTAATGAACATTAAAATACAAAAATTAAAAATTAGTGTTTTGAATAATTCAGCATTTCAAATTAAAAGTGAATCAACAGAAATATGAAAATATCAATGACATTTCATGTTAAGGTGATATAAATCTTAATTAAACCATACAAGCAAATAATTTGAATACAACAATCGAAGATTAATTCATTAAGTCTCACATGCCACGGAGAGATAACAATATGTGTCCTTTCATTTGTGTTCACAGTTTGTCATTTCAAACCGTAACATAACTTCCTGGTATCTTGGTAGTTCCCAAATGTATTTATGTGCTAATGAATCATAATGTTAGGATTGAAACCAATTAAGTAAGGATAACATGCTTTCCAAATCGAATATAAAAATACAATCCTTTCCTGATCACTGGATAATTTGGTAATGTAATATATGTGTTAATGTATCAAATTATAGATAACATATTTCTTTTAAATCTAACTTTAACAAAATCAATAAAATAACTATAACCATATAAGGTTAGTCTTTGTTTTATCCTATGTGAGATTTTATTTATTTAAACCAAAGTAAAAATCATTGCTCTATATCTATCATTTGCAACGAGTAACATATTAGTAATTTTACAATAATCAAGAGAAGACGGGTTGGAAATACCATCGCTGACAGTTAGTATTACTTTGTGTTGTTGTCCATCAGCAGATATAACTACCACAATGTTAGATTCGTTTCTCGCAACGTACACGTTACCATCATTATCGACAGAGATACCACATGGTTTCTCTATGACGCTTTTTTTTCTTAAATGTCCATTTTACTGTACTTTGTAGCTCATAACATATCACGGAATCGGTTTTGTTATTCGTATGGTACATTTTGTCACCCAAATAATCAACGTAACAAAATCTTGGTAATTTTTTGCAGACTATTTCATCTGTTGAGTTGTTGTACGGATCTATCAATTGTATTCCTTTTCCAGATGCAGAAAAAACTAATTGTGTATCCTTCACTGCTATGCCATAACAATAACTATCAAGTGCTGTTTCCTTCTTTATATTTTTGTTTTGTATATCGATGATTGTGATGCCTTGCCTTGGTGAATCACCGGATTTTACAGCCAGTGTGTTGTACTCAATAATGTGCGCCATGTCAAATGCAAATGTTGGTGTTTGAACTTCAAAATGTTTTGAGCCGTTAAGGTTGAATACTTTCATAATGTTTACATGATAGTACGTGAACGCCATTCTTTCGTCTGTACAACAACCCTTAATATATTGTTCCATGGTTTTTATAGTTGTATGTAGCTTTAGATTGATATTTTGAACATACCTATTTGAGACGTGTGATACCAACATTTGGGCTTGTTTTTCTTTTTTCCTCGACAGTATCACATTACTGGGTTTTTTCTCAATCATTACGTATCAAAATTTCTTGATATCTGTGACGAAATTGTGTATGACATTATGGGCATGATACGACAATTCACTGTCTTGCAAGCTATCTGTGTCAACCAATGATTGTAGGAATTTGTTCTTGCAGGAAATTTCGTTTTCAAATTGCTTTATAGAGAAAAATGTCTGAAGATCTGTTGCATGTTGCTTGATTTTTATTACTGTATTCTGGTGTTCATAAATTTCGGCTCTCTCTCCATCTAATAAGGCAAGCATTTGGCTTATTTGGTCTGTTTCTTTTTCTTCAGCTGTATTCAATGTTGATTTTAGACCGGGTTTCCATGACTTCCTGTCAATATCCTGCTCTTTCTCGGATAACGTCTTCATGTTGTTTTCTCGATTCTGACGAATTCTCTGAATATTTTCTGCCATTTCTGATAACAACTGTTCAATCTCATTTAAAGCCTCTGATGTTTTGGTTTTGTCGATGATGTCTGTTAATCTGGAAAATTCTCGGCAATTGGTGTGATCTATTACGACACAACTACCACAACAGAGACATTCATGCTTCTTACAGTAAATTGTGTACTTCTCATTATGTTTATCACAGTTTTCTGTGATTTTTTTAACATCACTTGGTAATTCCTGATGTTCGGTTATCGGTCGGGTTCTATGGTTTCGCGATGCTTTAGAAGCAGTATGATGTTTTATGCATTGTGGGCATAATCCTTCTTCACATTCTGTGCACCAGACTAAGGATGGTTTGGTGATATGCTGGATATCACATGGACCACAGGAAGGTATTGATGTTGCCATTGCAGGTAGTACTTAAAAAAGAAAAAACAATTGGATAAAAATTGTTATTAAAGTGCATAATATTTATTACGTTTACCTGCTGAATATAGATATAGGAAGACGTGGTATGAGTGACAATGAGACAACTCTCCATCCAAGACACAACTTATAAAAGTAAACCATTATAGGTCAAGGTAAGTTCTTCAACACGTACCATTGACTCTTATCGAACAGCAAGCTATAAAGGGCCCCAAATAATCACTAGTGTAAAACCATAAAAATGGGAAAACCAACGGTCTAATCTGTATAAAAAACGAGAAACGAGAAACACCTATGAACCACAATAAAAAACGAAAACTACTGAACATCAGATTCCTGACTTAGGACAGGTGCAAATAATTGCACCCGGATTAAACGTTTTAATGTTACCAAACTTCCTTCCTTATCTGAAACAATAGTGTAACATCACAACATAGAAAGACACACTATAAAATATCAATTGGAATGGCTTAACTTAATCAAAAAACGAAGTCTGTTATGACTCGTATGAATGACTGTATTAAATATTACACTCTCTGACAAACATGTATAGGCAAAAAATTGTATTCTTGTTGAAAGGTCGGCGGCAATAGAAAACACACATCCTTTTACTCTGTTCTTATTTATTATTATATTTCTTTATGGGGATATTTTATTTAGAACGATACGTTTTTCTTTTGAAAAGGCAACCAGGTTTACAGATTCAATGAAACGTGCTTCATGGCATAACAGGTCATGACATAATGACAAAAAAAATTAAAGAATTCCAGACTCTGAACTAAACCGCATTGAAATTGCTCAAGAAATACAAAACATTATACAAAGTATTACAAAAGAATAAATGGTGGTTCCTTTTAACCAATGTGAACCAGACAAACAATTGTTTTAATTCGACCCTTTACGCCCCTAATTCTAATAAGCTTTGACAATGACCCCAAAGTAATCCCAACCTTCCTATTATACTGTGGAACCTTGTGCTACATTTTAACAGGGATGAATACACCTGTACTCGTGACATTGTCGTAAAAAAAGACAAATGATTGTTGTTTTACCCTTTCTGACCCCTAGTTACAAAACAGCAATGACATTAACCCCAAAACTAATTCAACCCTCTTTTTGTGGTTAGGAACCTAGTTCTAAAGTTTAATACATTTCCATACGCTTATTCTAAAGTAATTGTCTGCGAAATAATTTCTTTTCTATGAAAACTTTTTTTTTTGGCCCCTAATTACAAAACCACTTCGACAATAGCCCGCAAATACAATAATCGACAATCGTTTACTGGTATGGAACCTTGTACTAACATTTAATAGAGATTCATGCACTTACACTTTGGTTATTGTCTGCGAACTAAAATGTCTTTAGACGCAGCTGCAGACATATGCGGTCGTATGACAATTTAAGTACTTCAGGAAATGTTTTGGGAATAAAGCGTACTATAAACACGAGCCCATCAAATACTCGTTTTACTTATATGTACAACAATTAGATAAACCTAGCAAGACGTTTAATACGAAGTAAATAGTATTACCTTAAACTGTTTGAAAAGTAATTTACAAATAAGGTGAGTGATAGAATTATCCATGTATAAATAAAACTACTTCTAAGAATAAGGAAAACTGTGGACATTTGTCCTTTGATTATCTGTGTTGGTATTATCTCCCTTGAGTAAGAACTTGAAATGACTTGTTTTAACAAAAAGCATCAACAATATAATAAATAATATTTTATCGTTTTCATCTCATAATTATACATATCATTAAACAGCATACCTACTTTTAAATTCATCAGTCGTGAAATTAAATGAGTGTATATCTGTTCTGTTTTAAAATCCGTCAAACAGGCAGGTTAACAACTTTAACAGGTAAATGTATCGTGTTACTTGTTGTGACGACAAACATGCTACTTTAAATATAAATCAAGTGATAATGGCAGTAGATTTAAAAAGTGTTGGATGAATAACATAAATAAGGTGAATGATAGATTAATCAGGATAATTAGCGTTGAAGATTTAACTAATAAGAATAGCAAAACGTGTCAGCATTTTTATCTCAATAACATGTCTGTTTTTTTAACCAAAAATCGAGAAAAAAAAAAGGAAAATGACAGTCATTCTTGTATGGGCAGGGCTTACCAACATAATACAATAAACATATATGTTTAAGATTAAATTAGAAGTAATATACTCACATGTTAATGTTGCAAACGGACGCATAATCTTATGTTTTTAACAGCACTCTTATTTAACCCTCGGTCGATATAGAAAGACAAAAAAAAAGTTGATCATGTAACGATTATTCTGTAATTCATTTCAAAGAATAACCTATGCATATTTCATATCAAAACGTCTTAAACAAATTTAAGACCACTCTGAAAAATATATCCTCTGCACAATTCAGGTCAAAACGTCTTAAACAAGTTTTAAACCACTCTGGAACTATGCCTTATTTTACAATTACGTTGTAAAATAATTATGATTACATTTTCATACTAGTTATTTATAAAGAATTTTTTTTTAAAATATGATTTGAAACCTCTTATGATAACTTATATAGCTTGACAATCAAAATTAACGACAAAAGAGATGATCTCAGCTTACCAATTGCGAACTTTCCACTGCTACATGTATGTAGCAACATTCCAGCAGCGGCTGCATATGAAGTATATATCCCCAAATTGATATTATATTCCCGAGCTGGTATTCCAAAGATAGAGGGTGGCTGGTCACAAATAAGCTATTAAACCAAGAGTTACAAATGATAAAGTAATCGTCCAGTCGTTAATGTTACTACAGACACAACAATAACGAGTTGCTCGACCGTTATGGAATATCCGTCTCACAGATCATAGCGGATATGCTAAAAAAAAACAATCCCATCCCATTGTGACGAATGTGACCTACCGAATTAGACTTATTACCGTTTTTGTACAATCATGAGAAACACGACATGTTCCACATGGGGAGCAAGGTTTGCTTACCCGGAGCACCTAAGATCACTCCCATTTTTAGTTTGGATTCGTGTTGCTCAGTCTTTAGTTGTCTAGTATGTTTTGTTTTGTGTACTATTGTTTGTCTGTTTGTCTTTTTCTATTTAGGCCATGGCGTTTTCAGTTTATTTTCAACGTTTGCGTCTGAGTGTCCCTCTGGTACTTTTCGCCTCTCTTTTTTATTATATTGCGTAGAAATATTCATTATAACAGTTCGTATGAGTTTAAGCCTCGCAAAAAATGTTAACTTACTTTTCAAATTTCATAAGAAGAATTGATATTCATACATTTTTCATTTTTTTCTTTCTTTTTTTCGCTTGACATTCTTTCTGATGATCTGAACGAACATGTTTCTATTGCCTTACATTATATTGATATACTGATGTCTACATGTAGCTATTGCCGCTTCACAAGCATAATCACGTAGACAGGACGTGCATGTTTCAATGATTCGAACTCAAAAATCAGTATATTTGTTTCATCCATGAAATGCACATCGAAATAACTTCCATATTTAAAAATTTTATCTAACGTACAGGATCATAGTTTTGCATGAAATATGTCCCCAAATGGATATTATAGTGCTTTGTTTCATACTCTACAAAGAACTCATGATTACATTGTCGGTAGTATATTTTTCGGAGAGTCTAATGTTCCGGCTAGCCGGAAAAATAGTTAAAAATCTCTATTTGTCCGGCCATCCGTTTGCGTATGCGCAAATCTTCAATATCAATAGAAGTGTCATGTGGCGCGAAAAGTGTCCCGGATGAGGTGTCGGAAAACAAACGCGCGTATGCAATGGACGTTTTGAGAATTGGAGTTCGTGATTTATATTTAAAGATATCCTAAAGAAACCAAGAGAGAATGTGATTGCTTTAAAACAAATTTCTATAGGAGTGACTCCAGAACAATAGCGTATGCATGTATACTGAGAGAAATAAAGCCTGAAATCAAACTAATATTGCTGATTTACCCCATTTATCCCATGGCGGCAAAACGCATTTAACTGTTCACTTAAGAATGACTGAATCAAATATGATTGGATGGATTATTTCTAAGTTATACTTCAACGGAAATCTATGAACATGCACTGATATGCCTGGACTGAGAATAGGATACCAGGGTTGGGTAACCCCTTTTTTTTATTCTGTTTAATCTAATAAAAAACTTTTTCTATTTTTTTTTTCTATCGTAAACACAACCTTTGGGGGCAGGTTACACGTGCCTGCCATTATCTCTTATTTCCTATGAATTAAAAATCATCGACCATTTTAAATAAAAAATGGTGCAAAATCATTTGACAACATGATTTGAACCAAACTTCAAGGAAACGATAAATTGAGGATCTTCTCTTGGAATCATAGATGTCTATTGAAGCCAATAATCAATGGCCTGACTCTATACCTAACAGGAAATTCATAGGTAGAACAACTAAAAAAGAGAGAGTCATCAAAATTGGTACTTAAGGAATTTATTCCCATAATAATTCTGTTTTTATTATTTGATTTTTGTTGCTTTACTTCTATTTCAAGAGCGTTTATCTTGCGTTTATAATAACCAAAATAAGTAACGTCCGCTCGGAGAACGTGTAATAAATGAATAGTTCGAATTATAAGTGTATGTATGTGAGGGAATTTTTGCCACTACATTCTCAATTGGATACTACAATACCACTTAGCCAAAAACATATTCATTTTTCATTTTTATGTATGGCCGGAATAATAGCTTAATAGCAGAGAAAAGCTATTCTTCTGGATGGCCGGAAAAATAGACATTTTTGCTATTGTTCCGGCTAGCCGGAGGAATAGCCACTGCCTATATTTAACTTCGAATATTTTTCCCCATAAGAACAAACGTATGTTTTAATTTATGAATGACCAAAGATATAAAACGTATAGTAAAACTTGCATTAGAAGGGAGTAATGAAAATCGTTTAATCGGCAATGTTTTTAGTTTACTTTTATTTCATGTTTCAACAACATTGCATATCAAAT